CTTTATTAATCCCTCGGGTGGGTTCCTCTGGGAAATTCGATTTCCAAAAAGCACAGCACCGACAGAAGTTACAGTTACAGAATATTATATATATACACACACACACACACACACACACACATATATAAATACAGAGACAAATATAAATAAAATATACGAAGGGGATAAATAGAATAAATAGGAATAAAAAAAAAAATAGTGCACATTTCTAAACTCTACGTCTCTGCTATCAACTGAAGGACAAATGCGCACCTTGTTGTCGTAGGTGACGCTGCCATCAGGTGTGGTGGCAGTGATCTCAGGTGTAGACGCTCTGAGATGGCCAGGTGACATGATGCTTGGCTTAGCCACTCCGAGACAGAGGATTAGGTAATTGCGCCACAGTGAGATGTAGCTGTCGCTGGCGCCTGCCGTGCTCGTCTTCTTAGCGTTCACTGGGCTGCTGCATGAAGACAGGTGAAAATGCATTAGTTTAATCTTTCATACACAAGTTGCTATCATTGCATGTCATTTTATTTAGAGTGAAATCCTTAAAGTGTAATGTAATAAATGTGAGTTCATGTACTTGGGATCAACCAGAGGCAGCAGCAGCTGTAGCCGTGTGAAAACGTAGGGCCAGGCGTATCCTAGAGCAACGGGGCAGTGCTTAGGCAGATGCTCTTGCCGCAAAAAGATGTGCAAACAGAGCACCCATGGGTCCTTCACACACTGGGCAAAAATCCAGACATGGCTGGGGCTCTTCACGTCGTACGAACTGCTCACCAGTCGAGCCGTCCACTCCACTAGCCACTGGAGGTCAACGTGGTGGCTGAGAGGCAAAGTGGACTGAGAGGCAACAGGAGCAAATAAGTCATTTGTAAAATCACTTATCACATCGATACACTTTTGTTACTGATCGCTCTCACATTCTAAGCACAAATATACCTACTGAGTCAGAAACAGCCACGTGAACAAAGCTGTCCATTACAGCAGGGCTCAGCTGGTCCATGACCTCTATCATGGGTTTGTCATCGTCCTTTAGGGAAAGACATTTATAGAATCAGCTATTTTTATAACAGCGTCACACAATGCATGTCTAATCACAGCAAGTCAGATGGCTCTCCTTCCATCCTATTTCCATACCCTTTCTCCCTCTTTAATCACAGTTTGTCACAAGATTGCTGTTGCATTTGTTACCGAACTGTTTTTGTATTTTTCTTCACTGCTTTGTTACCGTCTATAAAGTGAGACAAGCTGGTGAGCTGGTAGGAGAAGATGTGAGTTTTCTGTGCTTTACCTCAGCATGTCCCAGTGCCGTGAAGAGACAGCGTATTTCTCTTAACACGCCGACTGCCAGCTTCCTTGTGCTGATCTGACACGAACAGAGGAGCAGCAGAGCAAGGCCCTCCACCGCATGGAGTACTGAACAATGAGGGCTTCGCTCTGGCAGTCTAGGGCTGGCCTGATGGAAAGTTAGGAGGGTTAGTAAAAAGTAATTAAGCATGCATTTACAGACCGACAAACCCAGAAGACCTCAACAACCTTTCAAGCTCAGTGGCTTCTCTAAATGTTTTTAATATAATTTTAAATACACTGAACATCATGTCTCCTAAAGGAAAGGAAATAGTTGGCTTATGTGTGACTGTCATAATGATAAAGTACTCTATACAAACCTCAACTCCCCCTCGCATCTTCCCCTGGAGCTGCAGAGCTAACCTCCACTGTGTGAGCAGCTGGAGAAGAAGCTTGACGGATGCATCCTGCAGACACTGATGGGTGTCTTGGACCTGGAAGTATTTAGCATACGACACTCCTGTTGTGAAGTGAACCCCCTTCGGTCATAACTGGCAACAATGTTTTATGGCTAACACTTTGAAATTATGAATAAGCATATAATAAAGAGGTCCTATTGTAAGAAGCTACTATGATGGTTCTAAATGTTCACCTTTCAGTTTAAGGACCACATCACTCTGTGAGAATCTAAATTAGTTCTGGGGAAATGTTTCTAATATGTCACTATGTAGGTAGTATGATTTTAACACTTTAGAAGAGCAGCATGAAAGCATCCGAAGGTTGTGCTATACCTCACGTAAAAGGAAATGTGTGTAACCAAAAAGGACGTCTTCCCTCCAGTCTGAGAAATCAAGTAACAGGCTCTGCAGGGAATTCTGGGAAATAAGACGAAGCTCATCGTCCATGTGCACTGTGAGTCTGAGGGACAGACAGACAAAAAATAAGCAAGATTTGTGTTACAAAGCTTGTATTTCACCAAAATTAAACTAAAATTGCAACTGAGTGAAAAGAAATTTGAATCAAAAAAAAGGATAAAACAATAATAAAAAATATAAGGAAGCAGGAAATCTGGTTAGTTTTTGTGTATTGTTTGCATTGAATGCCTGTTGTGAAATTCCTACATGTTTCCCCTGAAAATATGCAACCACATTACAACAAAAGTAACACAGAAACTAAAAAAACTAAACTGAAACCAAGAACTTGTACTGATATAGTTTGACTTATAATTTAATGTATTCTATTCTTTTAATGATTCAGTTTTTTATTGTATTTGTGAGGAACTTGAGCTAGACCTGAAACTTACCTTGATAGCAAGTCTATGAGCTCAGGCTTGGACATGCCATCGGGAAGGATACGAGGAATGGCAGCCACACATGTCCTGAACAGGTCGATTTTAGGCTTCCTTTCACCACTAAAGATGGAAAATGGAGGAGTACATTGGACACTTATTTTCGATCACGTTTGCAAAATTTGAAACGGAATGAAACTCCACTTTGCAGTTACATACGTGATCATATCCTCTGGCTCTTTGTTGAGCATCTGGACGCTTGTGAGCATCATGCAACGACCCACCTCCTTATCCAAGTGCCTCAGGATGTTGTCCAGAGCTTTTCGCACCTGGGAGTAGTACAAGGACATGCCTGTGGGGAACCAGCCAGAAACAGAGACGATGAAGGGGGAGACATTCAAATTACAGCAGCATCCAGACACCCACACACACAAACACACACACAGACCTATTAGCTTGGCTTCCTCTTCAGTGAGTGTCTTGCTGAGATATGTTTTCTTCTTCTTCAGAGAGTTTCCAGAGGGCAGAGTGGCTCCTGTGTTGGGCATAGGAGGCTCTCCATCCTTCTGTTGGAGAGCATCTGCTATCACCAGGAACGCCCGCAGACCAATGTTCATACGCTGGAAGACGGATACAGCGCCAGTTTTTATGCCAGTTTTTCAAGAGCAATGGAAGATATAAAGCAGAATTCAATGTAGATCAACATTATTACATTGTTTCCCAGTAAGACACAGATCCTGCAGTGAATGTAGCTGAGCGGGATCTATTTATATAACTGCTGATATACTGTCAAAAAGCCTCACTGTGACTGTAAACATCCTTAAACTGTGCAAAGCATACTGCACTGTCAGATTACACCAATCGATAGTTTAGCACATAATGTCCAACACAGGATACGCTCACAGCCAAGTCCATCTCTCCTAACTATTATTAGGTAAAGTGAATATCCTCCGTTTCAGGCTAATTACGTTGAAGCTTCCAGCAGACCACATACTGTTCTTTACATTCCTTTGATAGAAATCAAAGTTGGAATGCTTAGATCTATAAAATGTCCCGGGGAGATCCACTGTTGATCTTTGTGCAACTGAATGCCTGTGTCCACTCCTTTTTACCTCTGGGTTGAGACTGAAGGCTTTGGCAGGCTTCCCAACACTCAGCAGGTCAAATATGATCTCCTTCATAGCAAAATCGAGTCTCTCCTGAAGAAAGGACAAACATGCTGGAGTTACAGGATTTTAGAGGCAACATGGTGTGAGGCAGCAGGTGTATCTGCTGTCAGCAGTGGGACATTTTAATAAAAACTATTTATAAAAAAATCAAAGAAAACAAACAAACAAAACAGGACACTGAAGGTCTTATTTATACTTCTTATTTTGTCGGAGTCACAAAAACTCATGTCATGTAGCAACTGGGGTTTTACACGGTTGCTACATGACAGCAGCAAATGCAAGAGCAAAGAGTGCGCTGCACTTAAACAGCATTAGAGCAGGTTTCAAAACCCTCTGCCGCTAATTCAGACATCAGATAGAATGTAATCAATTTTGATAATGGATTCTAGTGAAATGTAAAAAAACATCTCATGTCCTACATTGTTGGTCAGCCTCTACTTTTCATTACTGTTTAGCTTTTGAGTAGATACTGGAACCGTGCCATCTCAGAATTTTGGATTAATCATTGCATTGGTCTGTTTTTCAGTAACAGTACAGAAAAAAACACTATGCTATGCACACAAATGTGACTTTATTTCTCTGAGCAAGAACAACACTTTATGTGGTTTGGTCACTCATACCATTTATCAAGGTATTCATTTTTTACAGATAATGAAGGTTATAATCTTGGTTGTTTCTGTGTTTTATTTTTTTCCTCTTTGACTATATTTAACTGGTTTATGGATTTTTATGTGTGTGTGCTATTAATTTATGCAACTTATGAGCGTACCACTTTTCTTCTTGTCCCCGGACACTCTTGAAAAAGAGATTTTTAATCTTAAGAGTTTATTTTTTTCATGGTTAAATAATAATAACAATAATGATAATAATAATAATAATACCTGGGCAATAAACTGGATAATCTTGACAAAAATATTCAGAGGCATGTCTCTGGGCACGACGCTACGACTCCCTTTGGGGAAGAGAGTGGTGGTGATGGACGTCAGGCGACTGAGGGACAAAAAGATGTAAATAAGCTTAGCATTGTAATTCCTGATGCATTTGACTATATTTACAAGTGTACCATGTTTAAGGGAAATTCCACTAAATAACTTAATCATATAAGTTACGGCACAATTTAAAAAAAAAGAAGAAGATTATTTCTGGAAAGATAACTAATGATTGCTTAACATGATGATACCGAGCTTCCGATTACATCTTACATGCTATTTTATAGAAAAGTAACAGATGTAGCATTACCTTTGTGTAGCAGTGTTGCTTTCACACTTTATCCGGATCATGTACACCCACAGCAGGCGGTAGAGTGATTCCAGAGCCACTCGTGCCATCTTGGGGTCTTTGTTCTGCATTCACACGCATGCAGACAAAAAACAATTAGACTTAAAACAGGTAGAGTTTGTTACACATCGGTAACAGAAATGTTTTCTCTCAAAACAAACCCTAAGGGGCATTTCTTTCTGTTATTGTACAGGCACAGTATAAATTGTTGCTGTGTGCCCAACATACACTGGATTCTAAAGATTTAAAGTGTAATCATAAACTTTACGAGGCTTTATGAGCCCCGGTCAGTCAGTCTCTAAGCTGCAGTGCTTCACTTGAAGCAATAAACACTGACGGGTGATTTTAAAGCTGAAGGGCTAGCGGGTAGAGCAAATATTTTGTAGTGTTTTGTGCATGTACAGTTCACTTTTCACACATAATTAATTTTTATGAGTATACTGTTTTGGGAAACAAACAGCCCTTTCTACAGTAATTTGTGGATTTGCATCGTACAGACGAAGCAGCTGACCTTGAGGTTCGAGAGGCAGTTGTTGAGAAAAATGTGCCAGCGGCTGAGGAAGAACTGCTTCTGACTGACACACAGCAGGCAGGTCACCAGAGGATACAGGGCCTGGTGCAGGGAGGGAAGACAGATGGGCGAAAATTAAATGAGGCGCATGACAAATTTGGGAGGGATGAACCGACCTGTCAGCCAAACATTGATGTTGATAAACAGCACTTCTCTGATTTGTTACAATTTTACTCTGGATGAAAGCTCAAAGGTAGTGCGATAATGGGACATCAATGCAAATTTCATTACTCATTCTTTCTCCCCAACTACACAAGAGACAGAGACAGTCTGACTAGCTGCAAACTTTAACCCAGGTATTGAAATCCATCTTTGTCCTTTAAAAACAAAAATGTATATACATGAAATCGCATGAAGAAAATCAAACCATCAACAGTGTGAGTTTTCAGAAGTGACTCATATTTACGGATTTTTAACAGAAATTTCATGTCCAGCAGGCTCAGACCTGACATCTCCTCTATACAGTCATTCTTAAAGGTTATGTAAGTCAGAATACAGATCATTCTTTAAAACAAATTCTTTGCTAATGATCAGCGCGGGTCGAGAGAGGCGTCGCGACTGGTTTTGGAACCTCTAACCTTGAGAAGCGCACCTGTCACTGCTTATCAAAGTGAGCACTCTTCATCTGATTCTCGCCCATTTCTTTCTTTCACTCAGACACCCAGAATGCAAATGAATAACAATTATGGAAAAGCACCACATTGCTATCATTCCTGTCATGTTTGTCAATTATGATCTCCCTGACATAGCAGATGACTGCTTGTTAGTGTGCATGCCTCTGTGTAATTCACTTGGAAAAACTGAACCCCCCCCCCAAACAAGAACTTTTGTTTGGAGAGAGGTGTGTCAGGTCTTGGCTGCATATGGGTGGCTTGGAGTATGCAGAGAATCTGCAAAAATAATGCAGCACAGCGGCCTGATGGCATGTCTTGTTATCAAATGTGCCCGTCAAATAACCGCAGGACACATCCCAAAGGTGGGGCTACATCTTAGAGAATGCACCACCTCAGCGAGCGTTGTCGTGCATCTAAGAAATTTCTGAGAAGTTGTGTCTATATTTTAAGGAAGTTATAGCACTGAAAATCACATACAGTTCAGTAACCTTGTAATCAAAGCCTAGCCTTAGTGCACTGTTTTAATGAGTCAGATGAACTGCTGATTTCCCTGCCTACCTCCATGCTGTAGGCAAACACTGTCCATCTGGCGCAGCTTCAAAAAATAGCCAGTGCGCTGTACACTACACTCTTATCTCGTTCCCACGAAGAGATAAAAGCTCACATGTTGGGAGAGTTACAGTAAGTGCTTTCACCAACTGCTAGTAATGGAGAGGAAATGAAGAGAGATTACCAGTGGTGAAACCGAATACGGGGAAAAAGTTACCAGAGAGTGTTTCTTCCTAGAGGACAGGTCCAGTGTGGTGTCGTACAAACTTTCGACAAAATTTCGTAGACACGGCACGTTCACCTCATTCTTCACGGTCTGGAGGAGGAGAGATAATGCAGAAGTTATGTCGATATACATTGGATTTCATTTTTCCCCCCACCAGAACAATTTCTGTTAACCTGATCGAGACAAACGGAGCATTATATACTGATGATCCTAAGACATCAGACTTATCATATAAATGGAGAGCAGTAATTTCAATCTGGGCCTGTCCTAATGTCTACTCTTTTTTGTTCTGAGGAGTAAGATTAAATGCACTTACAGCAGCTACAGGTACGAGTATTTCCACAAAGAGTCCAGCTAATGAGTGCTTAATGTCTTTATCTTTCACTTCCAGGAAATACTGTGCACACTCCTGCAGACAGAGAGAAGGAAAGAAAGAAAGAGAGAGAAAGTGATAAAAAAAATCTTTGTATATGTCCATTGCTTTGTTTTGCAATGGATCATGGGAATTCTTGCAACTACGACTCACATCAGAGGCGTGAAAAACAAGGCAATTAACCCAGATTACTTTGTAGAACTTGGTTAGAAAGCCATATGATGACACTTAAGAGCTTCCAGGTACAAATATTCCAACCAAAAAAAACAAAAAAATCTACATCATTCCTTTAAGCTTTCTAAATACAGCCCACTTTGGCAAGGAAGCTATTACAGTAGTAGCTCAGTCTACCTGCATGAACTGGAAGGAAGCTTCAAAGTCTTCCACTGGGTACATTTTGATGCGGAAAAACTTGAGTCCCATGATGAGGCTGATGGTGGACTGGATGACGTACGGGCTCTGCTCTTTCTGCCTCAGCTCCTTGAGCTCGGAGATGAACTTCTTCCTCACTGCTGGGAACCTGCCGAGGAAATGGTGACCAGATATGAGCAAGTCTCGTGAGTTTTAGTAAATACCATTATATCTATGTCTAAGTGGGGGGGGTTACATTTGAAGAATAACTAAAACAAAGCATCAAGAGTCTTCTAATCTCTGTTCATTTGCATAGATTGAGCACATTTAGTCTGCCCCCCCCGCCCTTTTAAAAACACATGCACATGGGTATATGCTTTTTTGCATATGTACCAACCAGCCAGATAGATTCTACCAACAGTACAACAGTGCTCCACAAGCCTATATTTAGAAAGGCGCTGGAGGGGCAATGTGCAGGGAATATGTACGTGTGTTACTGCAGCAGTTTAGTAAGTGAAATAGTTATTAGCCTTGTTCTACGTGCAGAGAGTTTAAATAAAGCACATATAAACACTGTTATCATTAACTAAACTGAAAAGAGTGTGTACTCAAATTTGTCATAGTCCTGTGTGTGCAGAATGCAGTGCAAATAAATAACAGAAAGGTGATTCAGACTGCTACTTGATTAGTGTAAGAACACAAGACAGTTTTTCTCCCTTTGCTCAATTAGATCTCATACTTGGTCGATAACTTTGTTCCATTAAGTTTGTGGATTTTTGGGGTTATTATCTTTGTGTGTGTGTGTGTTTGTGTGTGACAGTTTGTGAGCTGCCATGTGTAACTGTATTACATAGTAATAACTCAGTAAAATTAGATTTTTTATTTCTTTTTTTATCCTTCATCGCACATGACATTACGTGACACAGTTGGAGGACCCTTATCATTACCCTTATGCACACAAACACACATTCAGACTTGAGGAACACAGCTATTACTACACTATGTTCTTTACTTGTGCTGAAGTCGGAGAGACGGCATTTGTAATCTCTGATTTCACTGAAAATTGGGTCAAAAAGAGGGCAGATAGCAACTGTTGCCACATATTAAATTTTTAACCCAGACAAACAGGCCCACAGCTGTAACACGACCTGGATTCTACTTCAAATTAAAGACAAAAAATACTTTTTTTTCTCTCTGTTGTATTTCTACTCTATGACCACACATCCTTAGTCAGCAGTTTTTAAAGACTGACGAGACAAGCTGGACTTTCTTTTTATTGTGAGTTCCACAACCCCACTCACTGTAGACATCTGGGAAAACAATAACACTGTGAAATATTAAGATTTCTCGTACCCACTTCAGCTGTTACATTTTGAAAACACTGGCCTCAATATCAAGTACTCGCTTTCAGTTTTCATTGAGCTTTGGCTCTGTACATGTTGGGTCTTCAGGGAGATTTATTTCTGAATAAAAAAGTACTGGCAACAGGTACAATTACATGAGAGACACAAACATTTATTGCGTGCAGCTACACAAATATGCATACAGTGTAAGCAGTAATTAATTCAACAATACCTCGACTGAGCAACGACTCCCACTACTTCAGCATAGAGGTCAGCTACTATGTGCATGTTGCCTGTGTTAGGCCCCAGATACCTAAAAATTAAACATTAACATGAATATTATCAATCAAGTGCACTAGTTAGTTTTTACGAATTTGAAAACTAAAATGCATTTAATGCATTCTATTGTATCAATATAATTTTTATAGGTCGTCTGTCTTACCCTTCCTTGTATTTGAAGTGCTTGAAGGCCAGGTTAACGACTTCTTGGATGAGTCCATCCAAAAGAGGATGGAGGGGGATCTGCAGTAAAATGTAATTTTATTACATTTACTTTGTCACTTAAACACATACGAGCTATTCTGGAAGGACAATAATAATATGCATTATTATCAGTGCTTCTCCTTTAAACATTTAAAAGACATTATGCCAAACAGATCAGACTGCAAAATGTGCCCCACCTGCTTTAAAACTTCAATAAGCACCAGTGAAAAGATGAAATCTATCGCCAGATCCCTCCGCTCCAATAAGTAGTCCTTCTGTTGCTCATCACTGAGAAAGACAGACATAAGACGATATTAGTACACTTACAATAACGGTGTCTGTTCTGTTAGGCCCAGGTGCACAGAGCTGTGAAGGTCACTTTTGACTGCGCTATGTAATGCATTAATGTTGCCGGGTCTTCAAAGTTGTCATATTTTGGTTTCTACCTCAAATTCTATGTCTATGTTATATTAATGAGTAAGCGCGACATTCACACCTATGTTTGGACAATGACTGACCATCACTCTAATCATCCTCATCTAAATTTCAGGCTGGTTTGGGAATATTTGAGCCTACATTGCTTGAAATAAATCATTTTAAAAGGAAGGTATTTCACGATCCAGTTCATGTGTTCATGTGCACAAACAGCTCCAATATTTTAATCTTCTCTCACTTTTTTGACTTGGTGTTGGCCCGGGGTCGATATTCATGGGATTCGTCCTCCAGGCCATTTTGCCTCTTGTACCAGTCGAACAGAGTCTTCAGGATGGATGGCAGGCAGTACTCAGCAAGAGAACTCATAGAGTTAATCAGCTGGACATGACAGGAAGAAGAGACGGAGCCAAGAGACAAAGAGAAAGGATGGCAAAAAGGTTAGTCCTGTTCAAAATATGTGACAGTGTGTATAGTATGTGTCCACATGAGACACACACACCTGGTCAAACTGTGGGTCTTCTCCTCTCTGCAGAGATTTGTTTAGTGGCTTCTCCTGCCAGATAAGAACAGACAGAGGTGGAAAACACTCATGTAAATATTTTGCTTTGAATTTCAAGGAAAAGAAATTCAGTTCAGTTTCCTGACAGAACAAAATGGTCATTGTGTCCAAAAAGAGAGCGAGTGAGACTCATAAATCACTAGGTCAGAAGGTCAAAGCTAATAGTCGCATTTATTAAATGTAACAAAAAGTGAAGAAGTTTACTTTGTCAAACAGACAAAAAAGTGAGATGAGAGGTTCAATATTCTGGCTCAGACATATTAGAGTTACTTTGTTGTTCAAAAAACTGGAAACACAGTGCGTTTCATTGTGAACCATAAACTGAAAATGATCATATAGAGACAAGCAAAGGTGTAAACATGCACAGTTCAAGTACACTAACAGGTACATGTAAGCCTGTACTATTTAGGACTGCCTGCTTTTTCAAATGATAACAGTACAGAGGAAAAAAACCTTGGGTTAAATGTGTATTTGATCGCTGACTCTGGAGTGTGCGTGGGTTTCCAAGGTAAAATACAATCCACTAAACACAGCGATAAAGAGAAGGCATTCCCTGATTTACTGCTTTGTCCATTTATTGCTTGGCTGGAATTTTTTTTTTTTTTTTTTTGCCTTTCCCATTTGTTTTTTTAGCCGTCAGAATTGATGCCTGAACGCCAACAAAAATACCCAACGGATTTACTTTGCCAAATGGATCGTCACGGCTTTGTCGTTTTGTTCCATTTGATCGACCTTTGTTGTTATTATTTATTTTATTTTATTTTATTTTCAGTTGTTACAGACAGGACAGACATGGCTGGGGGATAGGAAAGGGAGAAATAAAGATGAAGGAACAGAAAAACAGAGGGGAAGAGGGACAGTGAGAGAGGACACTTAAAAAGAAAAAAAAAATCTCCCGGATCACCTGTTGAGAGAAAAAAAAAAAAACAAAAGAAAAAAGAACAAGCAAAAAACGAGAGCAACATAATAAACACAGCACCATCGCATTAATCTAACAGTGAATAACAATAAATACTAAATATTGAATGTTGTTGTGCAGCACGCAAGACCGACAGCACACAATGTGCTTTAAGGTAGCAGCCAAGAAAGGTGTAGTTTGTGTCTGTGAACACCTGTGTGTACACCTGTGTGGATCACTGCGCTTCAATTCAAAAGGATTTTCTGGACAGTTAAAAAAGGTTGGAAACTGTGGATTGCATAAAAATGTCGAGCCAATATACACTGTCATCCAAAGTTCCGATGACTAACATAATGAAATAAGATGGCCAAAATGCGTGTTTATGATGCTGTAACACAGACAGAAGTGGACTAAGCGTCATGGAGAGAAAAAAAAAAGAACGAATCGAAGCTCGGTCACTCACCAGTGGTTCAGCCATGATGATACGGATCTTGCGTTCAGAGAGCAAGGTGAAGTTGGCAAATAAGCTTTTTAGGACAAACTCGCCCGGCTTGCTCTCTGGGTCCACGTTGACAGGCGCCATGACGACGGGGCCCTTCCTCTCACCCAAGGGACCGCTGGCTGGTGGGATGGATGGCTTCAGCCCCACTGGAGAAGCTGATGACATATAAGACCGGCCAGTTAGTCTGAAGTACTCTGACTCTGTGGGTCACCCCTGAGTTACAGTAAATACTTCTGTGCCCCCAGCGTGCACACATTTTTTATCAGCGTTACTGCTAACTGGAGCATATTTAATGCTAAAGGTTTTTGAACTACAGATCTCATCATTTTTGGGCCTTCAGCCTGTTTTTGCTTTCTGAACCATGACAAACAGCGCTGAATATGCATTAGAAGTTCATATTTGCAATGCTCTCATGGTTGATGATTCTCACTTGTAGAGTCACGAGGAATGGGGTAGTGTAAAAATCATCTTCTTGAGCATAAATTGTATTCAAACTAATAAAAACCACATCTGTGTGTTCAAATTTCGACTGAGTTATGGCTCGGCGATGGACACCGATTCTGGCAATCCTTACACGATCCTCCCTGCTTTGCATTCACGCAGCTGAGTGCTATCTCCTGTGGTAATAAATCTCATACTTGGATAAATAAACAGAATGAAACATTTGCAGGTTTGATTCCCAGAATATGCCGGAGGAAAAAAAAACGTGTAAAGTACTTCCCCAACCCCCCAAACAAAACAAAGCAATAATTACCACAACATTTCCCAGATGTGTCTAGTGTGCTTGCATTAAGAACGATGCCAGATCAAACTGATCTTTCATGACCATGTGACCTGACCTCACAGGAAAGGTGAGATGTAAATACTAACTCATGGACATGACAGGCCCCTTGAGTTAAACCTGAGCACTCAGGCTTTGCAAACAGGTGTTCATATGAATGCGCAAGCCTTTACGCTTACCAAGGCCCTTGATGAAGCTGATCACACTAGCCCTGCTCCATTTCGTTGGCACCTCCATGGTGCAGACAGCCTTACAAGGACACAGTGGGTGAAATGGGAAAAAAAACAAAAACGGTGGGATTTTACAGGCTGTGAAATACAGCAGCCATGATTAAAAACAAAAGCAATTCATTGCAAGAGGTTAAAGTCACAGAGGACGTTTGTCTACTCCACCATTGTCAAAAATGCTACAGAAGTCCCTTTGATGTAAAGCTTTGGCACCCGGTCGGTTTAACCAAAGCTAAAAGTGTAAATCTCCATCCTTACGAAAATGAACGACAGAAAAAGCGAAACACACGAGCCTGAGGTCAAAAAGAAAACTGTCATGACAGCAGCACTACAGCTCTATCCCACATTCAGTCCAAATCAAACAGGGTGATGAGCTGCAGCCACACACTGGAGGAGCCATAGCCAGAGCAAATCCGCCCAAGTGAAGATGCCTCGATGCTTCAGAGCCAAGAGAGCTCCAGTTAAAAGTTGAAGAGGAGGTGCAGAAGTGTCTTCTTAAAATAAAAGTAGACAACCAACAACCATTTATTCTGTCATAAAGGGCAATCTACCAACAGGGATCAAAAAACCTTTCCAGTGTCCTGCTCCAGGAGAGGTTTGAGTAGATTAGAGGCTGCGTAGGGCCTCGTGCTCGAGAGCTATATGAGCCTACAGGTCAGCTATCAGTTTCTACTTTTGCTTCTGCTCCGCCTCCGCCCTGCCAACACTGCTCTGCACAACAATTCCTGTGACCTTGAATTCTTTGAAGCCCTTTGGAAAGAAGTATTGAAATTAAGTGCTTCTTTGAAAATGGTTAAGGGCTGTCCTTAAGTAGCCAATAGCAGTTAAGTAAAGTCTGCCCTTTGTGGAGATCTGACCAGAAGAGTTAGGCTGGAATTTCAACACTGCTCCGAGAGCGAGCCGAGGGGCGGAGGGAGGTGCTATATATAGACTGCTGGCGGTCACTCTCTTACATACCCACCACTCCCACTGACCCCTACTCATACACAATTGCAGACACATGAGCACAAAGACATAATACACAGAAACACACACACACTCACACACAATAGAAGGTGGTCTCAAACTGAGATAATCTATTACAACTGCTCAGTGAAACACAGTGGTGTACGAGCTTGTGTTTGAGAGTCGAAAGTCGTGGCGGCCCAGGAAAGCTGCGGTGGAGCACTTCCTGTGATCATCTGTAGTCCATTTGTATAACTCAGCAATGAAGGGAGTAATTCAGCAGAATTCTACCATGTCCAGTCAATACAAGCCTGCCTTGGTTTAATTACATTTACAATACATTTCAAATTTTAATTGAGAAAAATGTATTTAAAAATGTGCGAGCAAGAACGAGACAAAGGACGAAAGGGACTGAAATGGCAAAGAGACGAAGAGGAAGAGGAATAAAAAGCAGAATTGACAATAACAACACTGTTTTTCCTTGAGCCACAATTCCACTGAAGGAAATTCCACTGCCGTTTTGATGCTGGATGGAGACAGCAACACATTTTAAAACCCTGACTTGGACTGCGGGTATCAAGTCTTAAAAATAATCAGCAGATTATCTGATAAAAATAGACCAAGTGGAGAGAATTTACATCTGGTGTTTACCTCCAACCATCATGTCATACTAGCAGACAAGCACCCTGGCGGGATGAGTCATGAATAACACGCATTATGAGACAGGGTGACTGCATACACATCTTGATGCATCAACAATGCAGCTGTCACACAGAAATCCTAATATGGACGTTTAAATTAAGGTTAGCATTTAATACCTTTACGTTTTTCTGGGCTTGTGAAAAGACATATCAGTTGTGCACATGCTTGCACAGTCTGAGGGCAGTTTAATATGGACTGTGATGAATCACTTGTAAAAGCACAGACAACAACACAAACACACACTGACTCAACTCACCAAGACCAAGAAGAGCTAAACCTGTATGCTGGTACCTGATAGATAAAGGTATTCTGGAGTTTTTATTGTGTTATTCTTGGTCATTTTTGAACTAACCCTTAGTTGTGTAGTTATGAGAGGTTTAAATTTGAATGAATATCAACAGCAGTGCAAATCTTAGCCACTGTAATCCAAAATACTGCCGTGTTGTTGTGAACAGGTGAAAGAATTTAGAAATGTTTTTAAGGATGTAATTTTAAAAAAGGATTAAAACTAAAGCCGAAGTAGTTGACATTACGCATGAATATTTCAAAGCGATGGCAGGAGATGATGAGGTCAGCTATTTGTCTAGTGATTTCACTCCACAGCAACTTAAAAGTTAAAACACCAACCTAAGTTGGAGCTAAAAGCCTGATTCTTGGCTTTTAAGTCTGATTGCTATCGATATCATGACCTTGAGCCAAACAAAACCAACATGTCTGCGTCTGGTCTACAGCTGTGACAAGTGAGGAAACACGTCTGTTTCTGCAGTGATTTCATTTTTTATTACATCACCAATAGCTCAAGGGGAACCATCGACACGGCCCATGAAATTCCTCCTTAACCACTGCACCGACGTAACCCCTGCTGTCAGTAACCTTCAAAGCACACCTGACACATGAGCTGTGCGAAAGGCAAGAAATTCTCATGGAATCTAGAGACTTCTCAAAGAGGCACACATAAACAAACTGAAGACTGCCACAAGAAGTGATCAGCCAGTACAGGAAAATCACTGCAGCACAACAACAACAAAGCCTTATTGCTTATTTTTGCATTCTCTACAAGGTAAACTACAGGCTGCACGCAGATGAGTCCAAATGGGGCGATAATACAGCGATGTCTTCTGACTACTGTAATGTCTCAGATTTGTAAAGTACAGTATGTCCCAGTGAAAACAGTCGAGAGAGATGCTGCCGGTGACGGACTGCCTCACAGCGACCTACAGTGGCTTTACCTTCTGTTTTGTAAACAGATATTTTGAGTCTTCTGGACCGCACATAATAATATCACATGTAAACGGACAGCTTTGTTTTGTTTTTATTTATTGACAAATTCTGATTGACTTTAGAATTTCTGTACCAGGCTCAAAGTCAAATAGTGACACTTTTTTTTCTCTTAAGTAATGTTATGTATAGAAAACTGCTGAGAAGCCAGATTTACCCTCATTCTCTGGAGCTCTTGCTCAACTACTTGTCTTCCATTATTACGTTACGTAATATTGCCAAATGTTGACAGTGTCGATCACATTGTGTGCCGTCCGTTTGTCCCTGAACTCCAAACGTAAACACAAATAAGCATAGTCTGCACACTGCAGGATCCATTAATGATGAGTTGAGGGCAGACTGTATCACACATTTGTTGGGCACAGCAGCAAGCAACAACAACAGTGATCTGTTAGCTGTACTCACTGCCTCCAAAGGACTTCAGCAGAGACTTGAGGCTGATGTCAAAGAAGCCCGAATCCTGCTGGCTGGTCGCCATGGCTGCAGAGGCTATGTCGCCACGGTGACAGACAGCAGAGCGGGGACAGGACGGCAGGATGAGGCGTTGCAGACGGAGCAAGTAAGAGAAAGAGGAGAGCGCTCCGACAGGAATAAGGCTCGGAGAAAGGGGGAGAAGGATGCGGGTGGGCAGCGAGCGATGCGGATGTTGCGGCTGTCTACTGCTGAGTGTGTGCGTTTGTTTGCGTGTGTGCACGAGGAAGAGTGTGTGTATGCCAGAGAGAAAGAGAAATAGTGTCTCTCAGGCTTGCCTGAGCTCTGTGTTGCTATCTTGCTGGCTAACACCCCCCATCCCCTCTCTGTTTTGCTCTCTCAGGACAGTGATACACAGATGTTGGTAGACGCAAGCAGCCAATCCTCTTAGAGGGAAGACAGAGAAAGAGTGCGGGGGGGAGGGGGGCACACACGCACACACGCACACACACACACACACACCAGCTAGTGCTACATAGAGGGTATGCTGAAAATAGAGGGCGATAAACTGGGAAGGTGAAAACTAGTGAGTGAGTGACAATGAAATGGCAGTTTTCATACCGCTGTAGCTATAATGGAGCAGACTAACAGCACTAATGTTTCTATTGTTTTCCTGCTCTGTTTCATATTGTGCTGAGTGAGCATGCCGTCAGCCTGCACTGACCAATAAGAGCCAAGAGTAGCAGTGATAGGCAGGCTGAACCAACAAATTGCCAGAAACAACTGGTCAGTGCAGCACCACCTAAGGTAT